TACACCTTCGTTCCTCAGCGTCAATCATTATTGGAAAGGAGCTTTCGCCACGAGTATTCCATTTAGGATCTTAGTATTTCATCACTTCTCTAAACATTCTCCATTTCCTCTTCTTGATTCTATCTTATTCTATTTAGTTTAAGGCCTTCGCCTAACTAATAAGATGCCTACGAACCCTTTACGCCCATTTAAGATGACTAACGTTCGCGTCTCTGGTATTACCGAGTCTTCTGGCACCAGTTTTAGACGACACTTATCGTAAGGTAACGTCATAATCCTCCCTTACATTATTTAATCTTACAAATTTCTTTGCAACATTAAATTCCAGTTAGCTTGTTCACTCTTTCGAGCATTGACAAATATTCTTGACTGCAGGTAGTTAAACACTACTTGGGTAAATTTCATACCCGATGTGGCCAATCCCTCTCTCAAGCTGGCTATTGATTGTAGGCTTGGTAGGCCTTTACCCTACCAACTACCTATTCAAATTAAATAGAACCCTATAACGGAAAAGTTCCTTTAAAAATAAAATAGTTATATTTTATTTTTTATCCTCTGTTTCTGAGGACTATAAGTTATCTTATTTAATATTACTCACCCGTACACTCTGTCAACTATAGTTGACAGTAATTTGCATGTCTTAGACTACTGGACAACGTTCAGTCCGAACCAAAATTAAATTCTTCTAATTATTTAGACAAAGTTATTTTTAACTTTGTTGTATTTTATACGCTATGATTCGAAACCTGGAACAGCTAATTGCTGATTATCCTGCTTCTAGCGATATTTATGTTTTAAATTATTAATCAATTATAGCTCTAAATAAAAACTAAGATCGTCCGAAGGCACCCTTAACTTATTGAGGATATAAATCCTTTTGATACTAAAACTGAATTAACTTTTTTTTAATCTACTTATATTTAAGATTTTTAATTATAAATTTAAGTAGATTTCACTGATTAAGCTAAAGCACTTACCTCTTTTAATCTTACGATTTTTTTACCTCGCCCGCCTTTAGGGTGCGAAGCCACCAACACTAATGTGTTTGGATTGTAGGATTTGCTTTTTTCTAGACCGGCTTACTTTTATTTAAGTAGTCAGGAAAAGGAAATGTTTTAGGGTTATATTAATTAATATATAATAGGAAATGGGAGAGAAAGATTATAAACACTTAAATGTATAGATTGCCTTCGGTAGGCAAAATTAACCTCCTCATCAGTAAACTACAATAAATAAGAATAGTCAAACTACATCAACAAAGTGTCAATATAATATAGCAGCTTCATAACCTGCATGGTGATGCACAGTTAAGTGATATAAGATAATTCTTACAAAACCTACGCTAAGGAAAATAGTTCCAATAATAATATGAAGACCATGTAAACCTGTACTTGCGAAGAATACGCTACCATAAACAGAGTCAGCAAAAGTAAACATAGCTTGATTATATTCAACATATTGTAATCCAGTGAAGATAAGTGCTAAGAAAATAGTAAAGAATGTACCATTAATAGCATCTTTTCTATTACCTTGAATTAAAGCATGGTGAGCATAAGTAATTGTAATACCTGAAGATAATAGTATAAATGTATTTAATAATGGAATTGCTCAAGGATCTAAAGCAACAATTCCTTGTGGTGGTCAACTATTTCCTAATTCAATATTAGGTGAAAGACTTGAATGGAAATAAGCTCAGAATACGCTTAAGAATGCAAAAGCCTCACTAATAATGAATAAAATCATACCTAAGAAGATACCTTTTTGTACTTGTAGAGTATGATCTCCTAAGAAAGTTCCTTCCATGATAACGTCTCTAAATCATAGAATCATTACATATAATGTTACTATAAAACTTAATAGAAGTCCAGTACCTCCATACTGGAATCCGTGGAAATAAGATACAGCGAAAATTGCCATACTAAATAAGCTAAAACTTGTAAATAAAGGTCAAGGAGAAGTAGTTACAAGATGATAAGGATGTGCTTGGTAATTCATTTTAGTTATTTTATTTTTTATTTTTTTTTAGTACCAAGATAACTATAGTTACCTAACTATAAATTTAATTATTATTATAACTCTGTTTTGTACTTCACTCTGGTTCTTCGTCATGCTTCTCCCTTCCTTAGAGGGTATAGGCGAAGCAGGTAGAAGCTAGAAACAGGTTAAATTAAAATTTGTAATTAACTGTCCAAATGCAGATTGGTGCTATTTAACCAATTTAACTTAGGGTACGGAGCCTTGTCCTAATTATTAGCCCGTCATCCGGTGGCCGGAGGCCTCGGACTTGAGGGATTAATTTTAGTACGGAGCCGGGGGCAGCGTAGCCCTACCTCCTCTCACTTTAAAGCAGACTTCGCTTCAACTTCACACTAAGGCATAAAGGAAAAGGCGAAGCTCGTCGAGGGAGGCCGGTATTGAGTTCTCCGGTAAAAGTAACCCCGTCCTCCTTAGTAAATAGGGTTAACTAAACTTAAGTTCTTAATAAGTAGCCAATTTAACCTCTCCGCTACAGCCTGCTGTAGCTCGGCTTACTTACCTTCTCCTGCTTAAGGAGGAGGTAGCAGCGTAAGTTAGGTAGCGAAGCAAGAGCCAAGGGTTAATTTTTTGTTAGTTATTAAACGTATAATAAAGTTGTTACAGATACGTGTAAAGTATCTAATATTACGTTAGGATAAATACCTAAAGCCACTACTCCTATTAGTAAAGGTAATAATAGCATAAATTCTCTTCTAGTAATATCTTTTGTAACTTTAAGATGTTTACTAAATTCTCCATAGCTTATTCTATTATATAGTCATATACTATAAATAGCTGATAATACTATTGTTGAAGCACCTAGGATACCTATTATAGGAGATTTTTGGAATATACCTGCTAATGAAAGGAATTCACCCGCTCAGTTTAAAGAAAGAGGCACAGCAGCATTAAATAGAGTGAAGCATAAGAAGAAAATAGTAAATACAGGCATAGTTAAAGCCATACCTCTATAATAAGAAATTAATCTAGTATGGTATCTACTATAAAGTACTCCCCCTACACAAATAAATAGAGCTGGAGAAACTAAACCATGTGCAACACTTAATAATATAGCACCTTCTATTCCTTGTATGTTATTAGAGAATAAACCTAAAATAACTACACTCATATGTCCAATACTTGAATAAGCTACATAACCTTTAGTATCTATTTGTCTCATAGTTGCTAATGATGAATAAACTAAAGTAATTATAGCTACAGTTTGAACTAGAGGAGAGAAATATTGAGTAGCATCTGGTAATAAATCTATTAATACTCTTAAGTATCCGTATGTAGCTAATTTTAATATAACAGCAGCCAATAGAATACTTCCAGCTAATGGTGATTCAGCATGAGCTCTGAATAATCAAATATAGAATGGAGCTAAAGGAGTTTTAACAGCAAAACTTAAGAAGAAGGCTAATCATAAGTATTTCTGACTTTCAAAGCTAATTTCTACTAAACTTAATAATTTAAAGTCTGTTGAGCCTACATTACCGTATATTACTAATATAGCTAATAACATAAATAATGATCCTGCTAATGTGTATAAGAATAGTAAGAAAGCAGCTCTTATTCTATTAGCACTAGCTCCTCATATACCTACAACTAAGAATAAAGGTATTAATACACTTTCGAAGAAAATATAGAATAAGAATAAATCTAATACAACGAATACTGCTATTTGTAATGTTTCTAATAATAAGAATGATATTAAGAAATATTTTAATTTATTTGTTATATCTGTTCAATTACTTAAAATACAAATAGGTGTAATAAATGTTGTTAATAGAACAAAGTATAAAGATATTCCATCTATACCTATATTAAAATGAAATTGAGTTAAAGGTAAAGATACACTAAATTCTTCTACAAATTGATATTCACTTGTTAAAGAGTCAAATTGTATTCAGATTATCATAGATATAAATAAATTTATCAGAGATGTTCCTAAAGCTATATTCTTCATCAAAGAATTTGTTCTTTCGGCAGAGCCTTTATTTGATGACTCAGCTGATCCTATAAACATTAAAGGTAAACAACCTAATATAGGTATTATTAATAATAGTTTTAACATTTTGTGTTTATTTTTATTTAATCATTCCCCTTAGGGGACTAAAGAATTAAATATTATATATTAGTAATATAGCCATTTTACCTTATTTCAACACTATACTTCGCCTTGAATAAGAGCTGTGATGCACTTTAGACATTCAGTGAGGAGCGGCCTATTAAGGAATAGGAAAAGGCTAAGGCAAATTCTATAACTAATTAATATAATTTTAATTATCAACACTAGACTCATAAGTGCGGAACATAGTTACCTAACTCTCTCAAACAGTGCGGAGCCGAGGTATTTCAAACTCGCCCTACACTGGCCTCGCCTCTCCATTTAAGGAGAGGCACAAGGGGTGCGGTCCTAGGGAGCGGTAGCTTTGCTTCGCAACCTTTTTGTTTTAGTGGAAAGACTCACCATTCTCTACCACTCCTTGAGCCTAAAACAACCTAAACTAATTTATAAATAGCAGGAATAAGTGAGTAAGCCCTAAGAGTGATTTTTAGTAATATTAGTGAGCCTGATTAGGTGCTTATTTTATTAGGCCTTAAGTAAAGGTAACGGAGAGTTATTTCGCTCCTTTAAGAAGGAGGCCGGCGGAGCCTTCATTTTAATCCTTATTCCCTTTAAATACCGTTCTATTAGACTTATAGGTATACCTATAGGGATCAGTAGAAAAAAAATGTGATAAGTTTGCTACCTAGTTGTTTAATTTAATAAACTACCTATAAATAAATTATTCCTCCTCTTATATATTTTCTCTCTAAAAGAGTATAGATTTTGTCTTAATCTCAAATTAAGGCTCCTCTCCCTAGTTACCGATGCATAGCCTACTTGTGCCTTGCCTAAAGGCTGCTGCCCCTCCCTTTCGGCCTCATGCTCTAAATAATTTAAAAGCAGATTAAGGACTTCGTTACTACGACACAAAAGTAAGGTAGTTTAATGGTAAAATTAAGGTTTAATTAACCTTAGACAGGTGTTCGATTCACCTCCTAGCTAGATGAAAAAATACCTAACTTATTTATTATTAATGTCAATTGCAGGAGCATTTTTTACAAGTGTAAAAAATCCTATATCATTTTATTGAAAAAGAGATATAAGTATAATAACTCTATTGATGGTGTTATTATTAATAATAACACTTTATATTCAGTATATTGGATCAATCAATAGTGATTATATAGATATCTCTCTTCTACGGCCAGGTTTATTTAAACCCTTCTATTTAATATTAGCTCCTACTTCTCTGACTACACTGCCCAAAAACAGTTTAACTATGACTATTCGAGGACATGACTCTGAAAATAAAGGTCGAAGTAAAATTTTCTATTTAACAAATAGTAATTTACTGAAAGGTGAAAATGTCCTTAAGGCCATATACACTTCTCTTTTAGACTTTGTTCCTTTTATTGAGTTTTCATACTATAAGACTATATTAATAGTCGGAACTAGTTCTAAGTTAAATGAAAACGGACATTATGAAACAAAAAGTGTTTCATTCCACTCTAGCGTATTAATTAATAATGACACTCCGTTTGAAGTATTCTTAAGACGGATTAGTAAATATAAAAATTATAATTACGAAGCAGGGTATGCAGAGGACGTATACCAAGAGTTTACAGTTAAAGTCTGAAATGCGGATACGCTACGTAATAAACATATAAAGGTATCTATCAACGCTGTAACAGGTCTACTGGAAACTAAGGTAGAGAAAATAGGGGACTTATTCAAGAATAGAGATGGAGTAGAAGCTAAACCTAATTATAAAAACCCCTTTGATCAGGGGCAAAAAGCTAAATTCCATACAGTTACACAAGTTTTACAGCATAAGAATTTAACCCTTTTTGATAAAAACAAGGCGATAACAGTGGATCAAGGATCACATACTATAAATGAATTAGAATGTTTAGAGATAAACTCTAAACAAAGTAACAGTACAGTTTCCGACGCTGATGACTTAGCAGCAAATTTATTACTTAATATGAACAATCACAAACCTATTCCTAGCTTGCCTGAGGCCCGCAACCAAAGGGAAGCTACCGCAGCCCATAGGGGCACGGAGCAAGAAGGGGAGGCATCCAACACTAAGTCTAAGTTTAATTTTAATATTAAACCTATATCTGAAAAGAGATGAGATAAAAAGGTTAAACCTATAGCGACTATGGACCTAGAAACTATGGATTTAAAAGGTGATCAGTATCCAGTTTGTATATCGATGACTCACATTAAAACTTTGCTTCCGCACTACGACTTACGACCTAAAAATAGTGCCTCGACTTATATAGTGAGCGAGGCTGGTGCCGGACTTGTTAATAAAATATTTAAGCTTAACAAGGATATTATAGGTACTGAAACTATCTCAGAAGAGCTTCTTAAAGATCAAATAAGACTAATGTTTAAAAAATACTTTGATTACTGTAAAAAACATAAGATTGAGCACTTTTTTGTACATAACTTAGGATCATTCGATGGAATTTTCTTATTTAAGGCATTGTTTGACTACTTTGAACCCGGTAAAATAAAACCACTAATTGATGCGGATAATAAATTTATCCATATTCAAGCACAGTATTCAAATGGAATGAAGATAGAGTGAAAAGATAGTTATCGTATTTTTCCTGTAGGTCTTAACGATTTATGTAAAAACTTTGGTGTTGAAGGGAAAGACAGTGCTTATAAAGCAGAATTCAATAACTTCGAGCTATTTAAACCTGAGAATAGAAATTTATTTAATAAGTTCCTTAGATATAGCAGAGCAGACTCTGAAGTACTACTAAATGCACTTCTAGTCGCACAGGAAAATTATTTCGAGGAATTTAGTGTAGATATTATGAATATATACTCAACAGCTTCATTAGCTATGAGGATATTTAGACAGAAATTTTTCCCTTCTCACATAGAAGAAATACCTGTTTTAAAGAAGAACCAAGATTCCTTTATTAGACAAGCTTATCTAGGAGGAGCTACAGATATCTACAAAAGATACGCTGAGAACGTCCGCTATTATGATGTTAATAGCCTATATCCTTATGCACAATGTAAACCAATGCCTTTTAAATGCATCGGTTACAAGAAAAGATTACAAACTCTGAAAGGATTCTTTGGTTTTGTAGAGGTAGAGGTTACAGCACCACAACTACTTAAACCGATGCTACCTGTTAGAAGAAAGGATAAAACAATTTTTCCTACAGGTACTTGAAAAGGAGTCTACTTTAGCGAAGAACTTAAGGCTGTGGAAAAATTAGGGTATAAGTTTAAACTAGGTCAGGCCTATGAGTTTAGCTCCGAAATTTTATTTAAAGACTACATAGAACATTTCTATAAGATAAAGAAAACAGCTAAAGGCCCTAAGAGATTTATCGCTAAGATGATGCTCAATAACCTTTACGGTGTATTCGGAAGATCCCAAGAAAGATTTAAACCCTTAATAGTAGAGGATACTTACATTAACGACCTTTTAGCTCTATTCAGCTGTAAATCTCTTACAAAAATTAACGACAAATTCTGACTGTTTTTATCTAATAAAAAACATCTAGGTGAAAGTTTATTAGATTTACAAAGCTACATTTCTACAGAAGGATTGAACAAGACAGAAACACCTTTTAAATCTAATGTGGCTATAGCAGCTGCTATTACGAGTTATGCCCGGATTCATATGATAGACTTAAAACTTAATTATGATGTGCTTTACTCGGATACAGATTCATTATTTACTACACATCCTCTTCCTAATGATCTAATAGGAGCCGAACTAGGTCAGCTTAAAGATGAAATGGATGGTATTACTATAGATAAAGCTTATTTCTTAGGAATTAAACAATACGGATATACCTTTAAAAACAAAGATGGATTACAAATAGATAAATCAGTATGAGCAGGTATAACTAGAGATTTTATACCTTTTGAGATTATTGAAAAGATAGCTAACGGATACACTCATAAAGTACAAGTTGAAAATAGATTCTACAGAAGCTTTATTAATTTAACAATCCAGATTAAAAATGTAGAGGTAACAGCAGCCCTTCCCTCGGCCTCTGGCACAGAAAGAAAGGACGAGGAGCATGACATTATAGATAAAGTATTAATAAATAACAATTATAAACCAGAAAATTTAATTTTATAAATTAATAGAAGGGCGACTGCCCTTCCTCAGCTAACGCGCCCTAGGCCTACGTTAACCCGAGGCCGGGAGGGGTCCATATCAAGCCACTCACTTATCCTAACCCTCCCCTTAAGCCCTCCGTCCGGAATGTTGGTATTATAAAGGCTTCGCTCACTAAACTCCGGAGGACGGGAGTTTAGAAAATAATAATATTTTATGCTTAAAAGAAGAATATATAAGCCTTTTCTGGTAAATGAAGCTTAAAAAAAATAGACTAGCTCCACCTCCTTCCTTAGGACGAGCCGCGTACTGTTTAAAAACCTTAAGGTAAGCCCTCCTGCTTGCATTAATATAGCTCAAAAGGGTTTGAACAAGGAGGTCCAATTTGTTTCTTTACTCAGAGGGGCGAAGCCTTATCGCGTTTTGATTTATAACGGAGCGAAGGTAACCTATTCACCACTCTAATATCTGAAGGCACTGGTGTATGAATATCAGGCAATAGTTTAATATATTAAGCAGGTGTTATAGCATAGAGGTTATGCGGGGTACTGTTAATACCCACCACAGGGGTTCGAATCCTCTTAACACCTAGCCTATAATTAAGTATACTATAATTTATAGTGTAAAGTCTCCTTGCCTGCCTGTCTAAGGATGAGGCTTGCTCTCCCTCGACCTCCTGGAGGTCGAGGGAGGGGTCGCGTGCTAGAATTCTAAGCAGACAGGTAACAGTGGTGGGCCTGGGAGCAACACTAAGTCAGTATAGTATAGGAAGTTTTCGCTCCACGTTCCTTTGCTTATGCGAAGCAAGGAGTGGTAGCTGCCTTTAATGAGGCCAGGAAAAATAATTTATAATAAATAAAGGGTAAATTTAAGGTCCTTTAGTGTAGGGGTAGCACAACAACTTTTCATGCTGTCAGTACCAGTTCGATTCTGGTAAGGACTATTTAAACCTTGTTTAAAATAAAAAAAATAATTAACAATTCTAGTCCCTAAGGGAGCGGTAGCAACGCCTCCTCTTTTTCATAGCCACCTCAAGCCACTCCGCACAAGAGGGTGGAGAGCCCTCCATTGAGGAGAAGCTAATATGAGGAACAGTCTTAAGGAGCTCTTGCTCCACATCTACCAAAGCCTAAGGGCGAGCAATAATAGTCGGAATAGTTTAATTGGTAAAACAGTTTCCTTGTAAGAATCAGTAGGTGGTTCGAGTCCATCTTTCGATATTGTTAATATAGCTGAACTTAGGTCTCAGTCAGTAAATTATTTATTCGATACTCTCTATTTAATAGGGTAGGGTATAATTAGGGCACCGACACCTTGATCCCTAGGCGAACAGATCCTCCTAGGATTGTGGAGCTAGGAAAGACTTAGCAGATTCAGTTGCCTACTTAAAATTTCAAGACTTCTCACCCTAGGTCTCCGGTAGTATTCCTTTGGTTGTCGGCCTCGCCTATAAGCTTGCGGAGCTAGAAGGCAAGCTCTCCCTCTCCCTCCCTGAGGGAGAGGAGGAAATTAAAAAAAAAATATCAGGTGGAGCCTGGCTGAAAAGTATAAATGAGTTGTAGTTTAATTAGGAAGAACACCATTTTTTGGTAATGGATATACCAGTTCGACCCTGGTCGACTCAGTTAATAAGGAATAATATTATCTATATTATTAAGTAGGGCACCTTCTAGCAAGAGGTCCTTGCTCCTCGCCACTAAGCCGGACGCTGGGAGTACGTTACCTACCCAGACCTCTTACTCTAAATTCTAATGCCTTGATCCTATAAGCAGGAATAAGGACTTTGTTGCCTCCGGCTTAAGGGGAAAGGTAACGTAGTCTCACTTACTTTTTATATGATAGGATGCAGAACTCGGTAGGTTGAGTGTCTCCCTTTTAAGGAGAAAGCCAGTGGTTC